TTAAAAAAAAGTTTAATAAAAATTTATTTTAAATATCGGTATTGATATAAAATTATAAAAAATAAATAATTTCAAAATTTGTTAACTATATACAAATAATTATTTGAGATATTAAAAGGGAATAGAAAGTCATTAAAAAGGAGAATGAATAGTCATTAAAATGAAATTTTTGATTAAATATAGGATTACGATAATGAGTATCCCAAGGTATTCTTTAAGGATTTCAAATATAAAAAACATTGCATTGAATACAACACTTTTATAAAAAAAATACTTTTTATTTTTTAAAAAGTCAATTATTTTAATTTTCAATGCATTGATTACAAGTATTTTCAAACAAAATATATTTTTTTAAACTCTTGACGAGTGCTCTGTCGCTGGTTAGCATTTTCTTTCCATATAAAGAGTATAAGCTATTTATTATTGTCTATTTTTTTAATAGGATATTAAAAAATATTTATTATTGTCTATTTTGTAATGAGATATTAAAAAGTATTTATTATTGTCTATTTTTTAATTTTAAAATTCTTTTTAATATCACTAATTAAAGATATTTTTATAAATATTTACTGTGTCTTGAATTATAAATTATTTTAAGTATTTCACACACATTAAAAAGCATGACTAATTTTAAATAAAAATAAATAAAAATATATATTACTTTATAATATCATCTTTCATTAAATATAAATTAAAAGTAAATTAAAAAAATTAGAAAGAGAAGGACTAATAAATAATATATTATATATTACATAAAAACTATTAATGTTGTATTAAAATTATAAAGTAATTAATAAAAAATATATATTTTTCTTCTTGCAAAAGTTATGTATACTTCGAAAAAGTAATGTATAATTTGTTATTTTTTAAAGGTTACGCTAATCAGTTTTTCGAGACATTGGTTAAAAATTTCAAAAAAAAATGTTAACTATTTAGTTCATTGAATTCACATAAAATTATTAAAAATAATTAATTATTTATGTTTTTACTGTATTGAATATACATATTTTTAGAAAAAATATGTATTTATAGTTTATTAAAAAATATTAAACTTATCTTTTTAATTTTTTAACCAGTAACTAGGACACTTGTTAACATTTTCTTTCTTTTAAAACAAATATTAGACCTAATATAAGTAGTTTTTAAAAAAAATATTATTTCATTAAAGTTATTTTTTCTATTATATTATATTTTGATGAACAAATAAAAATTGCTTAAAAATTTAATAGAAATATCAGTATCATAATCAATGTTTGATGATTAGATCTCATAATTACAAAATTTATTTTTTAATGCTTATAATTACGAATTTTGGTTACAAGATTTATTTTAATACTAATTATTTATTTTTAATGTGTCAATAAATAGAAATTTGGATAGTTTATATTGTTTTACGGTAGCTAAAGAAGATCAATCAATTAATTTGATCTATTTTATTGTCATTTAATTACTTATCATTAAATATTATAATACCCATCTTATTGACAAGCCAACATTTTAATTTGTGTAAATATTTTTATGTTTTAATCACTATAAATAATAACTAATTTGCATTTAAGATACTGTTTAATTTTTTTAAGAATTAACTTCAAATATATTTACAACCAGTTAACTTTTTTAACAAAGAAACATTATTTCAAATTGTTTTTAATTTTAGTTTTTAAATTGTATTTCCTATTATAAAATTGTATTTTAACAAAGAAAAATACTACATAGTTTTTAAATTGTATTTTCTATAATAAAATAGTTATCTCATTTATAAAAATTATAAAAATTTATCTATCATTTAAAAAAATATTTGAAAAAATTTATTTGAGCTTATAATAAGAGATTAAGTAGATATTTTTAAATCGTATTCTCTTTTTTTATCAAGTAAATTGTACTATCTTTTTAATAATTTTTTTCTCCTAATATGAAAATTATATGACACTGAAAAAATGAAATCACCGATTAAAATATTAAATAATAAAAATTTATCAACTATATTTTTTAATGTATCTAAAAAAACAGGTTAATTATGTATAAGTTTCATTCAATATATTTTATTATTAACTATTTTATTATATTTATTTATACAGTTAAAACAATATTTAAAATTATTGTGTTATTAGTTGGTATTTATAAAACTAAATGGTTTCATAAATATTTCTATAAATAATGTTAAAACAATATAATATTTATATAAGGGATAATATACGGTTTATCCAAATATTTGTATATAAGAAAAAACTATATTTGTGTTCAAAATATAAACAAAAATATGTTTTTGTTTTGAAAATAATAAACTTTATTGGTTAAATAATTTTTTGTTTATATTTTTTCTTTCTTATTACATGTTAGAAATAAATGCGCGTAACACATCATTACCCATGCGAATGCACGAGTATCTTGAATCCGTGCAAAGGCATGAATTATTATATTTTTTTTGTACAATTAAAAAAAAAATAAAAAAAAATATTTAAAATAATGTATGAATTCAAACATGACAAAATTATGTTTATTTATATTACTAATATTTATTTATACAATTAAAATAATATTTAAAAATACTATATTATTAGCTGTTATTTATAAATTAAATGATTGAATAAATATTTTTATAAATAAAGTTAAAAAACAATTAATATTTACATACGAGAAAATGTACAGTTGTTCTATATATTTGTATACATGGAAAAACTATATTTATGTTCTAAATAAAAATAAAAACATGTTTTGTAAATAATAATTTTTTTTTTATAAAATAATTTTGTCTTTTTCTTGGTAAAATAGTTTTTAAGTTTGTCTTTTTCTTTGTATCTGTTTTTTTTTTTTTGAAAAATACTACAAATAAATGTTATTAACAAAGAAAAATACTACATACTACATAGTTTTTATATAAATCGCGTAACACAACTGTACTTGTAGAAACACACGAGTATCAATATTAGAATTTGTATAAGTATATATTTTTTGTATAAGTAAAAAAAATAAATGTAAATATATTTAAAATACTTTATGAATCCAAACAAGAGAAAAATGTTATTTTTTAATTATTTAAGTTATTAATGCTTTTATTTTAAAAATATTTTTAATTAAGATACACTATTGTTAATATAGTTTATAGAAAAGTGAGATATATATTATTGATGAAATCATTTAACTTGTATATGTTATTAATTATAAATATTATTTTTAAATTAATGAGTGAGTCTTAATATTTTTTAAAATGAGAACAAGTTTAATAAATAAACTTGTGAGAACAAGTTTAAAATGAGTGAATCTTAATATTTTTTAAATATGTTTTTTTAAAATGAGAACAAGTTTAAAATAAGTGAATCTTAATAGTTTTTAAAATGAGAATAAGTTTAAAATGAGCGAACCTTAATATTTTTTAAATATGTTTTTTTTTATCAATGATATGCAGCATAGCATGTTCAAAGGCTCGTCAGAACCCAACCAATTGTCTTTCTGCTGTTCACCAAGTCATAAGTCTATGCAATGTCTATGACACTAGCTTTCAGGTGGTGGCAAATGAAGACTATTGACCTTCATACGAAGAAAAAATTGTCTGGCATAATGATTTGATGCGAAGAAAGAAAAAGGGTCGCCCTAATAGCACGCGTATTCGAGCAGAGATGGATACAACAAACAAAATGGTCAGATTATGTAGTTCGTGCCGGCAGCTAGAACATAATCGTACAAAATGTCCCAATGTAGGAGGATCATAGTTGTAAGTGTGTCTCTTTCTAAGGTAAACGTGTGTCTTTAAATCAACAACAAATTTCATTCCATTGATAGCATACCTAAGCGATTACAATTATCAACAACATAACTTAAATCAACATAACTTAATACCAAAATAACAATCCGAAAATAACAACATAACTTAATATCAAAATAACAATCCGAAAATAACAACAACAAACTCAAATAAAACAACTCAATGCATCAACTTGTCTAGGATAATACAACCATCAAGATAATTTTCTTTAGTGTTATTCTCTATGACTCCTCAACTAGTCTATCAATTTTCTTGATCTTTTACCTAACCAACGGTTCAGTTCCCTATACAAATGCTCCAAAGTCTCTGTGTTCCACAGTATGACCTTCATCAGAGACCTGAAAAATAAACTAGGACATTTCTATAACCTTCATCAGAGGCTTTGTTGTTGAAAAATAAAATAAAGCATTTCTTTTCATTAGAGGAAATGTTAGAAGTTGTTCCTCCGATGATGATGGACGTTGATTTAGAAACGCATACATTCTAAATTGATTTGAAAATTATGAAGAGTTGAGGCTATTGGTGATAATTATTGTAAAATAACAGATGCGTGTGCAGTCTTATTTATAGAAAAATGAAATAGTATGGTCCCCATATGATATAACGTATCTACTCTTTAAAAACACATGATAAAAAAATACAAAGGGTGGCGTCTCCTTTGGAAACTAGGATTTAAGACAAAGGGTGGCACCATACCATATGACGACTTGCTTTTAGGGTAAAAGGGTGGCGTCATACCATATGACGACTTGCTTTTAGGGTAACAAGGTGGCGACATACCATATGACAACTTGATCGAGGCTTTCATGCATGAGCCATTTCATATGGCACATGCACGTCGAAAATGCCATTTTAATTTTTTTTTTAAAATTTTTATTATATGTGTAATTTAAAAAAAAAACATGTTATTTAAAAAAAAATCTCAAACTCATCTTCTTTCATTGAATAAGAATACATTAAACTATAAGAGTAATATCAAATAAAAGGTTACTATTTAACCAAATAAAAGGTTAAACACTGTAAACCTTCACTCAACTAAGGTTCATCTCTCAAATTGAAGCCCCGCCTTGATCCCATGCTTGGCTAACCCAAGCTCAACCATACTCAATAATGAAATGAAATTAAATGAAAATACCCACAAATTGGCATCTTGATTTTCATGATTTTAAGATTGGCATCTTGATCTTCATGATTTTAAGGGAAATTATTATGAATGCTCTTGTAAAAAATCTCAAACTTAGAGCTTCAATGTAAGATCAATGCCACCTCTTCCTCCTTCATCTCCTCCATTATTTGATCCACTTGTTCCATCTGTCACCTCTTCTTGGCCCTTCACTTCTAAGAAGTTAAAGAAAGGTTTACGATCTTCTTCATTTGAATTCTCTACTTTGTCCTATAAAATTAAATTCCAATAAAACTCAGCCTATGAAGCATTGAGATATACAAATTCAATAAAGTGCGTATCTCAGAGCCTCATTTTAATTTTAAAAATGAGTCCAAACTTAAAAAAAAACACAATTATAATAATTTAGAAAACACATCAAAAATATAATTATGTATTAATTAAAAATAAATTTAATTTAATTATTTTGAGTCTCGATCAATCTCAATTTTTGTATGTGCTATATTTTTATCGTATTTTTTTTTGATTTATTGTATTTTTATTATAATATATTATTTATTTCTATTAAAATCTATGGAAAAAAAATTAGATCTTTCAAACTTTGAGCCTTTCAAAATTTGGAGTCCCCTGCTATAGGAATTGTTACACACAGGACCGACCCTGATAAACGACATTCAAAATTTCAATGGTTCAACTTACTTCAGTGACTTGACAAGGAATCCTGTTTACTTTGGAATGGTTGCTTTGAAAAAACTGCAACGGAGGTCGAGGTGGAGGAACTTCAGGAACAACAAATGGGGGATATTTTGTATGACTAGAGCCAACATTTTCAGAGTTGAAAATCTTATTACTTAGCTCCAAAGTGTTACCCCATTTTGTATCCCTAAAAAAAACATAAGATTATTTGATATAACAACAAACAACCTATAAATGAATCATACTGATACACTCTGATACATAAACACTAGTAATATTATTAGAAAATAAAATAGTTCTAATATACTAAAACATGTCTGATACCAAGATAAATTTATAATCAAGACATTATCACCTGTAACACTCGTTGGTGGGATTGTAGCTACTAATCCCATGACTTTCATTTGTTGAAGACTGTTGGGGTCTATTGTGGCGTGAGAAACTCGGAAGAACTTGGAAATTTGAAGGCGGAATCAGAGAATTGTCCAATGATGAAGAATAAGATCGCTTTACGCGGCCGCCAGCCATCTACGACAAACATCCAATATTGATATTGATTCGTAATATTAATTTGTAAATATACAAATGAACGTCCATAATACCACTAATTTCTAAACCTCAAATACTAGGAAACACAGTAAAAAAAACCAAAGAATTAAACAGGAAACTCGCAACTGAAAACTTTGACACCAAAGAATCAAACAGAAAACTTCAAAAAAACCAAAGAACTTCTAAATAAAAAAATGATTATAATTGAAATACACTTACACTCAGTTAAATACTGAAAAATTGAGAAAACTTTGACTTTTATTGTAAAAACCTATAAAATAATGTAAACAGACAGATAGTAACGAATTATCAGTGAAAAACTTTTTATACCGATAGTGTATAAAAAATACCATTTGTTCATCATTAGACCTAGATGTGTAGTTGTAATGCGAATTTTGGACTGAAGGGGACTCCACTGAAAAATTGGGCAATCCGATTGACAAAACTCCATTTTGATTGCCACCATTCCCATGAAATTCATTCATCTGCATGAAAATTACAAAGATCCAGTTAAAATTTCATTCACAAATACATAAACAAATAGTTTAAAATTAGGTTAAACTTATAATAATAATAATAATTTAATAAAACCTAACCTTAGGTAATGGATCCACATTGTTCCTCCTTGAAACTATTCCAGGATAAGAACAATTGGCATGATTAGATTCACTAGATGAAGAATTTTCCGATTCGGACGGGCTTCCGTCGGCAACTTCATTAAGATTTCGACGACGAAATAGTTCATGTTCAATAGATCCAACGCCATTGTTCCGTCCTAATGGAGACATATTACTGTTAGCATACATAGATCTAATTCCCGGTGACACTGTTAGATCGATTTTCTGCGACAACGGTAGAAGTGAATGAAAATTATTAGAATTCAGCCGCAACGATGGCTGTGGCTGCGGCGGATGTGGAATATAACACGACGATGACATCGAAAACCCTTCGTTATTCCCTCTCTGCGTTGGTGTAACATCAGCTGTTTCTTGTTCCTTCAAGATCTTCTCAAGCTCGGCAACACCGGGGCCTCTTTTCGGAATTCTCGGACGTTTTTGCTGTTGCTGTTTCTTCATACTACCGGAGTTCCATATGGAAACGCCATTACCATTACCATTACCACCACCACCGCCATTACTATTACTTCCGCCGCCGCTACCACCACCACCACAGCATCCACAAGCATTAGTACCGCCACTATTGCTACACATATTCATGGCCATTTTTGATAGTATATATTCACATTAAACAAAATCCAAACTCATATATATATATATATACAATCCAGAGTCAAGAGAATATAATAAACTACTATTTGAAATAAATTCAAAGATCATAGAATATAATCTAAAACAAGTATAAAAAAATACTCATTAAAAATAAAAGATTGTGTAATAAAAGGAAAGAAAATCTCATAGATTTATTATATATTTGTCTCTTGTTTATTGTGTTATAGTATCTTAAAAATTTCCCGGATTTTCTCATTTTCTATTAATGTTAAAAATGTAACAAATCTCAATGAAGAGATTTTTTCAAACGTAAGGAAATCCAAGCATTTATCAGAATCTTTCTTGTCTATGTAGGTTTTTTCGCTCGTGGTTTTCTCTTCTCCATAAAGAAAGCAAGTTTTTATGGATTTTATTCTCAAATTTTATTACTCAAAATTATGAAAGCTATTTATATTTTACTTTTTGGATTCTTCTCATTAATGTTTTATCATGTTTAAATTATTAGAAAATCTTACTTGTCTACATAATTTTCAGTTATATTTTATTCTTTTTTTTAATAAAACTTTATATTCTCTTTTTTATGTGTTCTTTGATAAATAAATATTTAAAATTGGTTTTGCTATTATATTGAAGTGATTTTAGAAATTTTAAATTTAAGTTTGACTCGTCATATTTTTTTCTAGGAATTTATTAAATCATGTGTTGATTATTAATTGAATAAAAAAAGTAAAAAATATTTAAAATTTATATTTATATTTTATATTATTTCATAGTCAAAGATTGTTATGCATTTTGGTTTATTTTGTCTATTTTGGAATATATATATATATATATATATATATATATATATATATATATATATATATATATATATATATATATATATATATATATATATATATATAAAATAAACTTTAAATCCTTGTATGGTACACTAACTTAGATATTTTATTTTAAGTGTAATTTAGATGTATTTCTAAAATACAAACATATATTTTTGAAAATTTTAATTGATTTACAGATTAAAATAATTTTATAATATTATTTAATAAAAATTCATTAATATATTATTTTATATAATTAATTTAAAATTTACGGTATAATATAATGAAATATATAATAATGATTGGTTGATAGTGTAAAATTACACTTATTTCACACTATCTCAATGCATATCCTATTTTCTCCTCTTTTAAAATTGCACAATCCTAGTTTTTAATTTGAATTATATTTATATTTAATCTAATCATTAAATCAAATCAAATCTAATGCTTAAATGTCGATATTGTAACAATTCTAGTAATTTGACAAATTTGGAATCCCTTATTAGAATTCATAAATCAACTTTCTTCTTTTAACAAATGTTTATTTATAGGTGCTAGGCCATTAAACAAATAAAAATAATGTGTGTGAATAAATTAGTTATATTTTGCTCACAAATGCACACACAAATCCATTTTTACCCAATCTCAAATTCAAATTGAAAAATTTAGCAATCAAAATAAAAATGATATAAAATGATATAATTTCCTATAAAACTTTAAATTTAATTTTTGTGATGATAAAGACTATGATTTTTTTCCGTAAATTATATTTTAACTAATCAAAATCAATATTATTAGATTGAACTCTAATACTAAAGTTCGAGTCTTGACTCTCACGTTTCTATGATTTTCAATTAAAAAAATGTCAAACACGTCTCTAAATATAAGAATCTTTTGAAGAATTTTTTTAAATTATTTTTTATTTAAGGTTTGTCTTTTTATAAGATTTTCTTTAAAGTTTAACTATATTAACTAATACTACTATAATATATAATAACTTCCATATCATGAATATTCGCAATCTCTTTTTTCAAATAAAATAAACATTACTATAATAATAAAAAGGATAATATAAATCTATTCTCTTTTTAAAAAAACATAATTAGTAAGAAAATACTAATTTTTTAAAAATTTGTATTATTATAAATTTTCTCAACTCTTGTGATTTAGTCAACAAAATTCTATATTTAAAGACAACCGTGTATTAAAAAAAATCAACTAACAAAATTATATAAAATTGTTATTTAAATTAATATTACATTGAAATATTGTTGTCTAGTTTAATATAAATTTAAAATTTGACTTAATTTCTCGTATATTAATTTAATTTCACATTTACACTACTACAAAATAGATATTTCGTAGCATTATATTACAACGATCGTCTTGTTAATAGTAGTAATGACTCATATTTGTGTTTTTTTCTTCTATTTATTAAAAGACATTTCACTTCAGTAATGTTAACAAATCGTGGTAAAATGTACCTCAAGTGTAAAGATTCAGATTCCAACACCAATAATTTTATATTTTTTTGTTCCAAAAAGGATTTGTCTTTATATTTCATCACAATTCATAATATCAATCGTGGTGTAAGGTGTTAACATTTTATCATGTTCTTATTACGAAATGTGATTTAACTCTATCAAATATTATAGTCGTCACAATATATAATATAGCTTCTTTCTTAGTTCAATAGTTTATGTTTCCAAATATGTTTAACTTCATATGAGTGAATGTATAACCTAAGAATTTTTTTTTATAATATAGCTACTTTCATGTTGTTTGTAGAATAATATGACCTAAGAAGTGAATATAAGATAACTATAATAGCTTTAGAAGTTAACTTAATAGGAGTGAATGTATAACCTAAGAAGTGAATTGTGTTGTTTATGTATTATAGTTTATGTTTCAATAGCTTCTTTCATGCGGTTTGTAGGATAATATGACATGTATAACTTAAGATGACTGAACTTTCATCTGGTTTATGAATTATAGAAGTGAACTTTCTGCATTTTTTATAATTACAATATCATGCTAATACATTTTGACTTGTAGGGATGGTAAATGAAGAAAAAATGTAAATGATTTGTGTTGCTATGAAAAAAAAAATACAAAGAGATGATGAAGTGAAAGTGAAAGCTACAAACTTGTATGAAAGATCCACAATGACATTCATCCTCCTTTCATTGTGGATTCAATTCCGAGACAAGCAGATCATTTCTTCATCTTCATTCTCCACAAAATTTTCAATAAAATGTACGCCTGTGGAATATTTTATTAGTTGATATGTTATTGTTGTTTAATATGCATGTTTGCCTTGTTGATAAATGTTGTTGTTTGTGTTATTGTTAACGTTTTAGAATTTGAGTTTATTATGTCCTAGAACAAACTTATTTTGTGCAGCTAGATGTGATTTCGTCCGACCAACATGCAAGAACAAAACATTGTTAAGTTCATATGAGTTTATTATATCGTATGTAGATTGCATGTTTCACTAACCCTTCAATGAGCATGCAATTATTTAAATTGAATTAGAAAATAATAATATGAAAATTAAGTTATATTTGAAAATAAACTTAGATCATTCAATCTTTTTCGGATTGCATGCATCTCGTAATTCATCTCTCGCTCTTTAATATATAGAATTTGTTTCAATTTCCCAAGTTCTTCAAAGTTCAAAGCAACATTTATTCTCTTTTAATGTATTTTTCAAAACATCAATTTTGTTAAGAAATTCTAATTTATCGTCATCACTGTCATCATAATCATCATCATCATTTAAGATAATTATGATGATGAATCTGAATTAGCCAACATAGTGTTGCTTTTTAAAATAAACTAGAAGGGAAGGAACCACTGCTTTGAAGAACTTAGGGCATTAAACCAAATTTTGTATGTTAAAGAACAAGAGAGTAATTACGAGATGCATTCAATTCGAGAAATAATGGATCGTTTAAGTTGGTTTTTAAGAATAATTTTGTAGATTATTATCTTCTAAATCAATTTGAATGGTTGTATATGTTTATTTAGGGATAAGAAAAAATAAGCAATTCACATATTTTGTAATAAACTCATATATACATACCACCACAGTTGAAAATATAACTGTGGTGAAATGATAATTTTGTAGACGCTTTAATTAAATTGATGTTGAACCTATATATATATATATAACCCTCAAATTTTGACCAATGATTGACAGTCATCTGGTTCCCCAATGACCTAAAAAGTCAAAGGGAGACCATTTTGATTTTTTTACCTTAGTTACTATTTTTGGGCGTAATAATTTAGGGTTTAATACTTGTTACGGGTATTGCTTAAATTTTTGGGTCTCTAATACATATCATTGTGGTTTTGGGGAGTATTGGTATTTTTAAGCTCATTTTAAAATTAGTATTTTTTATGGAGTGGTATAGTATTAATTATTTAAGGCTATAGACAAGGTCAAGGATTACAATAATGAAGTTCTTAGGTTGAGCAGTCTTAAAAAAAGGATTATTCAACACAAAGCTAAGTGGATTGGATAAAGCTTGGTGATGACAATAATAATTACTTTCGTGCTGCTTTGAAAAATAAACAAAAAAATAATCAATTAGATAATTTGCAGGATGGTGATGGTAATACCCTGCAGAAGCAGGAAGACATTGAGAAAGAGATTATAAGATATTACAAGAGCTTATTAGGCACAACCAAGAATAATATGAGTAGTATTGATATTGTGGCCTTGAAAAATGGTCCTCAATAGAACATGGAGCAAAAGGAGAGCCTCATTGCCCCTATCACCAAGGATGAGATTCTGAGAAGCTTGAAGGGTATGAGTGATCTTTCTGCTTCTGACATTGATGGATTTAATGCTAAATTCTTTAAAAGCTCTTGGGAGATTATTAAAGATGATGCTACAAAGGCTATCAAGCATTTTTTAAGAAAGATAAGTTATACAAAGTTGTTAACTACACCTTGGTCACTCTTATTCCAAAGTCCAATGCAACAACTATGGTGAAGAACTACAGGTCTATCTCTCATTGTACCATCATCTATAAAGTGATCTCTAGTATTATGTCAAGTAGATTTGGAAAAGTCTTGCCTAGTATCATACATAGTAGCCAAGTTGCTTTTTTTCATGGTAAAAATATTCATGACCATATCTTAATGGCTTATGAGCCGATTAGA